AATACACTGACTGGCTGTTAAGATCTATATTTTAATATATTTTCCTCGAAAATAATTTATTAACAGAAATATGCAATTAAGAGAAATATTTTATTGACAGAAATATGTTATTAACAGAAATATACACCAAAATATGCAAATAAGTTAAAATAATAAAAGAAAAAAACCTATTAAGTTATTAACAGACCTGTATGCAATTTAAGTGGAATCCACTGCACAGTGACAAGTGTAATATAGGTAGGGATGTGGTCGTGATTTAATTGTTTTTATTTAATTTAAAAAATATATCTATCTACTCCAAATAATGACACGTTACTTGTTATTGTAATGACTCATTTTTTTACATTATTATAATTTTATATGATGTCACATGTTTGTGAGAGGCTGAGTATGAAGTTGTATGTAATAAAAAAATAAGTGAGAAGACAATTTNGTGGGTGCAGCTCACTGCATAGCATAGTATACATACAAGGCACATTGATTACAAATATATTGTGGACAAGTATTGACATACAAAATAGGCGAATGTTCTCACAAGAGGTTATCACCAGAACGGCACCTGACCGGTGAAGTGAAAGTGAAACAACAGACTAAAAACTGAAAAAATCCGACTCGGCTGCTTCGTGAACATTATGTTATTGACCACGAATAATGCTTTAGGTATTGCTTTTTTTTCTATTTCAGGTGTGGGAATATAATATTAGAATAACACACATACCTCAAACAGTTCGTTTAATTCATGTTGTGTGAAATCGATGCTTAACAAAATTTCTATCGACAGCACTCGAGTGTTTACCAATGGCGAATATACGGTACGTATACGAGTTATCGGCCTTGATATTGTATGACACCCGGTGAGGGCACTGCGAAATCGGTAACATATTTTCCCGCCACTGGGAGTCGGCGGTCCCTTTACTTTAGGTCTCTGGTTCGTGCGAGAAAATTACGTCGTTTTCTCAAAAATTGATGACGTTACTCTCACAAACAAATGACGTAACAATCAATACCTGCTCTCAATACGCAAAGACGGAATACCGTTTTATCACAACCTAGTTTGTAGGTTGTTTCAAAGCGGTTCACAAATTATTATCCGTGGTTATAGGGCCTTTGCAACCAGCCAATATCTTTCTCAACTCCCTAGGGAGTGTACAGCCGGTGCTGCCATTTCGGCGCTCACAGCTAGCATTCAATAACTCTAGCACTGCCCAACCACGTACCAATTTACAGCTGAGTAGATTAGAACAAGTTGAGTTAAGTATCTTGCTTCTTTCAAAGATACAACACGAGCCCGGCGTCCTACCACTTGACCACCGTGCCTCCATAAAAGGTATAACGTTAACACAAAAATAAAGTTTGACGTTAACACAAAGATAAAACATGGCGTCAACACAAAGATAAAGTATTCAGTCAATAAAGATAGTATAACGTCAACACAAAGGTAAAATAATATATATATATGACGTACAAAAATATTGAGTACGACGTCAGCACAAAGATAAAGAATGATGTCTTAACAAATATTTACTACGACGTAGAGATGAGAACAATACACTCTCAGAACAAAGTTCTAACTCTACAACAGCTGCATATTACCAATATCACCGCGCAGGAACTTCACTAGCTGTCATATTTCCACACAGAAAATCTTAAAAGGATTCTAAGAATCAGGACCTCCTCAACAGATATCACCAAGACGACATGGCCCACATTATTATGAGAAGACGATGGAAATGATTTGGACATGTACTGAGGAAGGACTCCAACAGCATTACATAGAACGCCATCATCTGGACACCTGCAGGTAAACGTATGAAGGCTATACTCAAGATAACACCGAAACACATCAAACAGAATTATCTTTCCAAGACCGGAAGTTTGAGTATCCCTATCCCTCCCTGGGGAGAATACACAAATACTGTATTATTCTACTTCATCTTTATAACAGCATGTTGATGATATTGACCAAATGACGCGGACGCTAATCATCATGTAGCCTCACGCGCCCGAATTTTCCCGATGATATTTCACATATTCAAAGGCCCTAAAGAAAAGTGTGTAAGAGCCAACACAACCGAGTTCCGAACGGCTGAGGCAGACGACAACAATGGCTCGTCAACCTGGTTATTTTTACTATTGGATTATTATTTTTGTTTTATTATAAACATGTATTCCCCTTGTGGTAGGAAAACGCGATTCTTTGTTTCTCCGAGATTAATCATGTTTAACTCGCTCATCGAGTTGAGAAAACAAAGAATCTAGTTTCCCAAGGGCAATACATGCATCATGTATGAAGTAACACAAAGATCAAATATGTCAAAAATATTGGCGAAATCCATTAAGAAAACGTCAACAGAAAATTATTGAAACATCACTTGCATTTTACATCACATATACTTCAATGTTTCCGACACGGGGAAAGTGGTTCGGGATGTGTGGCATATCCTTAACTCTATAGAATCAATAGAGTTTTAGTATTTGGTACGAAAACTAAGAACAAATAATAAACTGACATTCGAAGATCTTTCAAGAGCTTGTTTTATTTTTTCTGATCTGTTTTGTTAATTTGTTGTCATTGACAACCGACTCATGTGTACTCAAAAACATGCATATGTTAACACAACCATCCCCTTGCGCAGAATACCATTCATGAAAAAGCCTGCATTGTTTATCTGTCCGAGCGCCCGTCATATCATTCAACCATTTATCTCTTATATAGCTCACAAGAAAAATCGATTTTGAACGCTTAAAATATTTACAACGGTATGCAAACCATCTCCACTTTGACTTATCTATTGATTGAAAACGACATTATTAATTTATTTTGATAAAGTTAAAAGGTTTTCGTGGAATTATACCCGTTTGCCACACCTAGAGGTATAGGGTCGTACCGTGGCTTTGAGTCCTAACCCATCTAAACATTTATACGGTATTGTTAGCCAGATGTAGCCCAATAGCTGACTGGGGATTTTACTTGACCCTGTAAACATGTAGACACGTACGATCACCTATTGATCTGCGCTTTCTTTTCATTCGTAAATACATTAAGTTAAATAATATATGCTAATAACTGTGTGGAGCACACACTACTTATTCTACGGGTCGTATTTTATCTGAACAGGTTAACCCTGTAAATTCTGTGTAAATTAGATAATCACATTCAATTTTATTACGCCAGGCGTATTAAGACATCTCCTCAATTTACACCTATACATACATGAGTAAAATTATGCAGATCTTCTATCCTTCCTGCCCAATCGCCGCCGTCATCGTGGCCGTGGTCCATCTTCATCGTCGGCCTTATCATCATCACAATCGTCGTCATAACCATCATCATCATCATCATCATCATCGTCGTCATAACCATCATCATCATCGTCGTCGTCATGATCATCATCACAATCCTCATCGTCATTATTACCGTCGTCGTCGTCGTCGTCGTCATAATCATCATCACAATCATCATCGTCATCATTACCGTCATCGTCGTCGTCATAATCATCATCACAATCATCATCTTCATCGTCATCATTACCGTCGTCGTCGTCATCATCCTAATCGATTTGAGGACTGGCGCTGTTTGACAACGTGTTTTTTCTTTATATAGACAATTATCCGTAATGTACATGTAGCACCACAACGGATTCGTCAATTTTACAAGTGATTAGTGTCAGGAACAGCAAAAATGGATCAGACGCGCAATACCAATATATGTGTTGTCCTTTGAAACGATGTCGATCATCCGAAGACGTCCTAAAAGGTGGTAAAAAGTTCAACAAAATTGATCTAACTGGATTTAGAACATGATAAAACACTGATGTGTCGCAGAACTTTTTGTTAAGTATAAACACTCGCCTGGAATAACGTAAGTTCCGGACTAAACGACAGAAATTGATACCACGTAGAAATTAAGTTCCTTAATATTTCCATAAAAAAAAGTGGGTAATCTTGATTAATGGATTCTGCATTAAATCAGATATTACAACTGCTTCACGCGAGCGATAACAACAGTCAAAGCAAATAAACATTCAGAATAATTTGACAGAACGTAATCGATAAGAACGAATAAGGAATAAAAGAGAAGCTTGGTCAGAGCAAAAGCGGCAATCTAAAATAAGGCAAATAAAGCAGTCTTTGACAGGGCATAAGCGGCAACCTAAAATAAGGGTGCAACTAAAAACAAGCAAATGTAAAAGTTTTTGACAAACCATCAGCGGCAGCAAAAAATAAGGCAAATACAGAAGGCTTTGATAGAGCACATTGTCTGACAATGCAAATGCAACGCATCGCTACTTTATTTGATACATATGCATATATATGTATATATAAGACACTCACAACAAAGATGTGTAGAGGTCTTTTAAACGACGTCAATGTTGATGTGTAGAAACAAACATATGTGACGAACGGCTAATGGCTTTTTAATATTTTATTATACTAATATAATTCATTAGCCTTTCTTTTTGTAGTGTGACGATACACCACAGGGAAAATAGATAACAGAAATAATTGTGTTGTGTATACAGAGGTAAACGTTAGCCGGCAACAGTTCATACTAAGCTACCAAACATGAACGACACAAGAAAATGAAAACTGCAAGTATCTAATCATAACAATGAAATATACTCGGCCAACAACAGCCATAGAAACACATGCCACGCTCCCCAGACATCCTCCCAGACAATTAACTATCTCTGTTTGATAAATGATGCATACAGAATAACAACAGGTGCGTTCGAATAGAGTGCGTATACATTACAATTATATGCTTTATATATTACTGACATATTGATTAGACTTTTTATGTTTTGTTTGAGTGTGTGTGTGTATGTGTGCATGTATCCCATCCGTAGTACGCCAATGCTTACATATTGATTTATACATTAAACAAATATTCCATTCTAGTAAGTTCATTCACACCCTCGCTAGTGCATCGATAACATTTTATATTTACAACGTCACACACAAATAAATACAGGGTCTTAATGACGTCCCGACGTACGTCTAAGCCATGTTAACGAAGAAACAAACAATGAACACATTGTGTATGTAATAGGAAACACTGCAAACTTGTGTCAAGAGGAGACAACCGTGTAGGAATACTTTCTGATGCTGAGGCTGGCACAACATCGATCGAAACTTGGAGCTAGCCGACTGGTTATAGCCGACGGTAGGGACACTGGGTAGAGCTGTGTATATAACGCCATGCCACCAGGGGGAGGGCACACGTCATGAGGAGGTGAAACACGGATTAACAAAGTGTAATACGCCATGATATAACCTGTGAGTTGTGTTAAACGTATCCCCGGCCTGGATGACTTCGCGAACGGGGGAGGATTTCTTACCTAAGGTTTGTGTGTGTTACCCGGATGATGGGGAAAGGCAGACGTAATCGGACATGGATATTACGGCCTGTTTCTACCTTACATTAACCACACGTAAGTACAGAGTTTATTAACGAGTTCTTTTGTATCTATAGAAGGTACAGTAATTAAAGTTTTGTTGTCTACATAACGTCTCTTACCGAAAGACAATGCCAACCTTTACTACAAGTGTTTCAACTGTACAGAAAATAGCACTTACCGCTAGTGGATCTACTGTATAGTATTTACTAATAGTAGTTCTACAGAAGTAGATCTAATGTATAATGTATATCATGTAGTTCAACTGTACTGAAAATAGCACTTACCGCTAGTAAATCTACTGTATAGTATTTACTAATAGTAGTTCTACAGAGGTAGATCTAATGTATAATGTATATTTTGTAGTTTAACTGTACAGAAACTTGCATTTACCACTATTAGATCAACTTTGTATTGAATTTACCACAGGTAGTTCTACTGTACTGAAACGTACATTAACCAGAAGTAGATCAACTGTATCTTGACGCATATTTACCACAGGTAGTTCTACTGTACTGAAACGTACATTTACCACTATTAGATCAACTGTGTATTGAAATTACCGCAAGCTGTTTTACTGTACTGAAACCTCAACTTACCGTGCACTAGTAAATCAACTGTATCTTGAATATTTACCACAAATAGTTCTACTGTACTGAAGCTAGCACTTACCACTAGTAAATAACTGTATATTGACAAATATTTACAACCAAGTAGTCCTACTCTACTGACCTTATCTTGTCTTACTAGAAACATTTTTCACAAATCGGGCTGTTGTTGATTGATAAATACTCTGTGCCACAAGGCATTGTTCATTGTTAAAAAATGTCTTTTTGAATAGGCCTACTGTATATCGACTATAAAATACACTATCTGATGCATTTTCACAGCGAACTATACGTGTTTTTTTTTTTTTTATTTATGGTGAGAAATATCAACATTATTTTACAAAATTGATTACGGCCAGGTATATTTAGGAATGAAGAACCTGCCTCAATGTGCTCTGCTACAAATTAAACTATAAAAAGTATACGTCACGGTAACAACTGTTTACTGTACTAAGTATATTACACTTAAATTTTCATATATGCATATGAAAACCTCTTTTTGAGGACTTGCATAAGTATCATCAACAATGCGACTCAAGTGTGTTTATGTGACGCTAATTGAAGTGTTCTGTACATTGTTTACTAAACAGTTATTGTGGAGGCGTCATTTCATCGATGCACTGATGTGTTAAAATTCGATAATGCACTTTAACTTGAGTGTGCTAAACCAAATACGTTTGCATTAGTAGTTCCGGCTGCTCAGTAGTTCGACTGATATTGAATGCGTCTCGTTAACATCTGTATGCAATAAAAACTATGAATACGCAACATTTAAATTAAATAAAAGTTAGACATGTCAATGCAGAACGCCAAACAAATCAAGAAAAATGCATCAGATTGGTTAAGCTGCTGTTCATATTTTGTTTTTATAAAAATCACACCCTTCAATAAGTTCAAAGAGATACTGAAATCTTATGAAGGCTTTACGGATGTAAACTTTATATATTTTACCATTGTGAAAAACGTTCTATGAACTTATATTAATCACTTTTGTTGGCCTGGATGGTAGCGCGCAGGGGTTATCCGTAGAAAACAAACAGATCCTGGCAGGTGACTCCGTGCCTTTTCACATCCGATCAGGGTATCGAACCCCGGTCACTATGGTAAAAGTTCAGTGCGCTATCCAGTGCCGACCACAAGGGCTTAAGATGAAATAACTCAAATATTTATTTCATTCTTTTTAAGGCAATTAAAATAATGAAAGTCTATGCCTGAAATATTCCAAACCAAATAACGCCTCGATGCATGTGGGTTCCACGAGGAAAAATAAACTAAGAATTATTCAGTTCATACAATCGAATGTTGGCAACTAAGAAAATCTCATCGCGATACCGGGATACGAAACTATTAGTTTCTAAAATGTGATGTATAAAATAGGATTGGAGTGATCTGCTGAATCTAGGTTTTCTGTATACAAAATATTTTTACCCGATATAGCTCACATGTATATTACAATACAGTCGAGTTCCCCGCAGCGTGGAAGCCTTCCTTCCTCGCTTTCAGCTTAGAGGGCATTGTTCAGAATATCATTTAGACGTTGATCTTTGTCTTTCTCTGCTCTAGCGCGACCATTCCTGTCGTGTCCCTTTCTCTACTCTAGCGCGACCATTCCTGTCGCGTCCCTTTCTCTTCTCTAGCGCGACCATTCCTGTCGTGTCCCTTTCTCTACTCTGGCGCGACCATTCCTGTCGTGTCCCTTTCTCTAATCTAGCGCGACCATTCCTGTCGTGTCCCTTTCTCTAATCTAGCGCGACCATTCCTGTCGTGTCCCTTTCTCTACTCTGGCGCGACCATTCCTGTCGTGTCCCTTTCTCTAATCGAGCGCCACCATTCCTGTCGTGTCCCTTTCTCTAATCTAGCGCAACCATTCCTGTCGTGTCCCTTTCTCTACTCTAGCGCGACCACTCCTGTCGTGCCCCTTCCTCTACTCTAGCGCGCCCATTCCTGTCGTGTCCCTTTCTCTACTCTAGCGCCACCATTCCTGTCGTGTCCCATTCTCTACTCTAGCGCGACCATTCCTGTCGTGGCCCTTTCTCTACTCTAGCGCGACCATTTCTGTCGTGTCCCTTTCTCTACTCTAGCGCGACCATTGCTGTCGTGTCCCTTTCTCTACTCTAGCGCGACCACTCCTGTCGTGCCCCTTCCTCTACTCTAGCGCGCCCATTCCTGTCGTGTCCCTTTCTCTACTCTAGCACGACCATCCCTGTCGTGTCCCTTTCTCTACTCTAGCGCGACCATTGCTGTCGTGTCCCTTTCTCTACTCTAGCGCGACCATTGCTGTCGTGTCCCTTTCTCTACTCTAGCGCGACCATTGCTGTCGTGTCCCTTTCTCTAATCTTGCGCGACCATTCCTGTCGTGTCCCTTTCTCTACTCTGGCGCGACCATTCCTGTCGTGTCCCTTTCTCTAATCGAGCGCCACCATTCCTGTCGTGTCCCTTTCTCTAATCTAGCGCGACCATTCCTGTCGTGTCCCTTTTTCTCCTCTAGCGCGACCATCCCTGTCGTGTCCGTTTCTCTACTCTAGCGCGACCACTCCTGTCGTGCCCCTTCCTCTACTCTAGCGCGCCCATTCCTGTCGTGTCCCTTTCTCTACTCTAGCGCGAGCATTCCTGTCGTGTCCCTTCCTCTACTCTAGCGCGACCATTCCTGTTGTGTCCCTTTTTCTACTCTAGCGCGACCATCCCTGTCGTGTCCGTTTCTCTTCTCTAGCGCGACCACTCCTGTCGTGTCCCTTCCTTTACTCTAGCGCGGCCATTCCTGTCGTGTCCCTTTCTCTACTCTAGCGCGACCATTCCTGTCGTGGCCCTTTCTCTACTCTAGCGCGACCATTTCTGTCGTGTCCCTTTCTCTACTCTAGCGCGACCATTGCTGTCGTGTCCCTTTCTCTAATCTTGCGCGACCATTCCTGTCGTGTCCCTTTCTCTACTCTGGCGCGACCATTCCTGTCGTGTCCCTTTCTCTAATCTAGCGCTACCATTCCTGTCGTGTCCCTTTTTCTACTCTAGCGCGACCATTCCTGTCGTGTCCCTCCCTCTACTCTAGCCCGCCCATTCCTGTCGTGTCCCTTTTTCTCCTCTAGCGCGACCATCCCTGTCGTGTCCGTTTCTCTACTCTAGCGCGACCACTCCTGTCGTGTCCCTTCCTTTACTCTAGCGCGGCCATTCCTGTCGTGTCCCTTTCTCTACTCTAGCGCCACCATTCCTGTCGTGTCCCTTTCTCTAATCTAGCGCGACCATTCCTGTCGTGTCCCTTTCTCTTCTCTAGCGCGACCATCCCTGTCGTGTCCCTTTCTCTTCTTTAGCGCGACCATTCCTGTCGTGTCCCTTGCTCTACTCTAGCGCGACCATCCTTGTCGTGTCCCTGTTCACTCTGTTATCTATGTGTTACGACGAAGGCATTAATACACAACTGTATGTCGCACACGCACCTTCACACACTAACAATCAGGCTACACATTTGTAGCATTAAAGTATCTATATTTACACATCTCCTATGTACCCTGTGCTGCTATCAGCCTCCCTGTACCGACAGTGCTGTGTTGTCACTTGTCTCCGATGCCTGTCTCAGGAGTTGTCAAAAATCGACCAGGGTTGAAATGATATTGGTACTTAACTATATTCGTAATCTTGTATGCCCTTCTCTTGCGTCACCGGGTTAAAAACAACCTTTATAACTGACTCATGAAAGGATTGTACCATCACCGGTATGTGATAATATTTTGATAGTACACAGCCGAGCCTCATCAGACCAGCAACCCCTAATCCAGTCGTTCCACTATCTACATTCGTTAATCCAGCCACCACTAATCCAGTCGTTCCACTATCTACACTCGTTAATCCAGCAACCTCTTATCCAGTCGTTCCACTATCTACACTCGTTAATCCAGCCACCACTAATCCAGTCGTTCCACTATCTACACTCGTTAATCCAGCGACCTCTTATCCAGTCGTTCCACTATCTACACTCGTTAATCCAGCACCCTCTTATCCAGTCGTTCCACTATCTACACTCGTTAATCCCTAATCCAGTCGTTCCACTATCTACACTCGTTAATCCCTAATCCAGTCGTTCCACTATCTACACTCGTTAATCCCTAATCCAGTCGTTCCACTATCTACACTCGTTAATCCCTAATCCAGTCGTTCCACTATCTACACTCGTTAATCCAGCACCCTCTTATCCAGTCGTTCCACTATCTACACTCGTTAATCCAGCACCCTCTTATCCAGTCGTTCCACTATCTACACTCGTTAATCCCTAATCCAGTCGTTCCACTATCTACACTCGTTAATCCAGCGACCTCTTATCCAGTCGTTCCACTATCTACACTCTTTAATCCAGCCACCACTAATCCAGTCGTTCCACTATCTACCCTCGTAAATCCAGCCATCACTAATCCAGTCGTTCCATTATCTACACTCGGTAAT